CGCTCACTGCATCTCCTCAAATAAAACCCTGAAATGCTGCTAGGTGCCAGCTGCTCTACCTCTTCCTGGAGACACCCAGCAGAATTTGTCTCTGCCAGATACAGCTGTGCACTTGGGTTACTTGAGGCTCAGTTTCTCATTTATTACAGGGCTAAAGAAAATTGCAGCTGGACTTCCTTGTCTTTAAGTGATTTTAACAGCAGAGCTGTCCCATATCCAAAGCCAAGTGAGGTTTTGTTTGGAGACCCACGACACTACTCAGTTATCATAAGGATCTTCTACAGAACAAGCAATGATGATACCATATGGCCATGCCACGACCCGAGCTGTTCTACATCAAGGACGTTTTGAAAAGGCCAACATYCAGCCAAGGTGAGAATCTCAACTCTACACTTCTAAATTGAGTCTTCCCAGATATTGTCATTTTGTAGATTTGTGKGGGGGGGAGAGTTTATCTTTTTAGAAATATTGCCTGTTCTTTTCTTTTCTGTGAGGACAATTGGACATAAAAGAAAACACAACACATGGTCAATATTGATATACGCTGCAATAGCCCTTCCTAAAAGTTTTCCTATTTTCARTTAATCCACGTGACAAAAGGTCTAAAACTGCTCACAGTGGCAACTGGTGCAACCCCCTCATAGTACCAGCAATGGACACTAAAAACTAAATCTGATAGCCAGGAAACTCAACCGAGCCAATCCAAGCAACTATAATAAATCAAAAAGATATAGCTTAGCACAGTGAAAGATCTCCAAGTATGCTGTTTAGTACAGAGGCAGCATTCACTTAATCTGCAGAACATAATGATACGTTGCATTAGATCAAATTACAGCTTGCATAGGACCACACCAGGAACACACTGGCCCACTTGGCTTGGGCCAATGAATTCATCTGAAAGCCTCATTTAGCCCACACCAAGGAGAAGGGATTTCCCCACTCCTGATCTAGCCAAATATGCCCATCCTTAATTATCTGCCGACTACTTTTTTCAGAAGGATGTCCTGACACTGGTTACTGTGCAACAGCACTTGCATACTGTTATTTGCAATTTTATATTTATGAATTGGCCTACAGGACTAATTGACTTTCTTAGTGAAGCTGAATGGCATTAGCTAAAGCTGACACCTCTCTTTCTTCATTTCCGTTTTCCCTGCCAAAGAAAATATATGTGGATGAACTTTATGTTCTTTCCAATATCCATCACCTCTGTGTTGCCCTGTTTTTTCCCTCATACCCGGCTCTTTTTTTTTTTTTTTTTAAGGCTATACCGCATTGGGTCTAGGATTTACAGAGACACAGCTAAGAACCAGAAAACATCTCGTACACTCTTCATTACAGCTCTGGGAGTTATACAAGTATACATAGAAATGCAATTAGGCTAACTTATCAGGATTTGAGTTTATGGAGTATTTCCCATTCTAAGTGCTTCAAGATCACGCTTTGGTGTTTGAGAAGAAACAAGGACCGTCTGCGCCGCCCTGGGGACTACTCACGTGGATTTGCCGCAGATTTTGCGCTGGTACCACTGCTTGCAGTTGGTGAAATATTTCCTGTTGGTCCCAATGAGCTTCTGCACGGCGCACACGTTGGGGCTAGAGTGGGCGACAAAGCAGAATGGGAGCCTGTGAAAATCCTCTTTCTCTATCTTGTCCCAGAGCCTGGGCTAGYCCCACCTGAAAATGCCCCCAGAGCCCCCATGTGTTTCACTTATCCCCTAAATAAAAAGAAATCAAGCTGAAAACATCATTTTCTCCAGGATTTCTGTGGTGAGCAGCTACTTATAATCTGGCATTAACTGGGATCCCAGGTAATGCCGGCCAAAGCTATGCAATGCTGCAAACACTTCCCAACAAAAACATCATTTTATTCTTCAGGACATTTATCAGGCTTTGGACCAACTTATGCTGCAAACAAATGAGTGACATAGTCCGAGTAACAGATTCAATTTCTTCTGSACCTGAATACTGAGTTATTGATGGTTAAAAATGAGCAGCTCAGTACATTGGACTCAATGTACACTTTATGACAGCATTTATTAACAGTAGCTATACAGTGTCAGCCCATGAGGTCCCAGGAGCTCTGCTCAACCAGAAGAATTACACACTTGAAGCTGCACATGTGACTAATCCCAGTGAAATCCGACTGCAGCCTCCAGGCTTTCTAAGAAGCCCAGTCATCRAGAGCAAAGATGTGGTCAAACGGGAGCTCGCTCGCTCCCAGCCTGTTTCCAACAGTGTTTCCCACTTACCCTGGCTCGCTGCGCCCTTTGCCCATGGATATGGACAAGGCAAAGTCATTGCAYGGGATGCAATTCATACATGGGGGCWGCAAGGCCACCGACTGCCCCTGGGTTTTGAGCCAGGGGTGCAGCACCCAGCCAGGCTGGGGATGCTCAGCCCAGCTGCACTTGGGGTGCAGAATTCGGCCTTAAATCACTCAGGAACCGCCAATCCCACAGCCAGTGTGAGCTGAGCCACACTCAGGGATCTCCACCTGGGCTGCACCAGCCCCGCAGCACCKACATGTGGCTCCAATCACATCCCCAGCCCACAACTCGCCTCGATTTCAGTGCCTGGTGCGGGACCCCTCCATATATTCATCTTGACAGGCCTGGCTTCCAAAGGCCCAGGAGCTGAGCACTTTGGGGCTSTTCCTTGTTTATCAGTCAAATGTTTCCCGTTTTTTCCCAGTACGGAAAGGTGTCTCGAATGGCAGACGGGGTCTCACACCCTTCCTGTGCTCCCTGCAGAAAGGCAGCACTGCACCGACCCTCCCRCAGGGGTTTGGCTGGTCCTCTGTTGCAGCGTCCATTGGACACACCGTTAATCAATGGTCATAACTCAGCTGATGTTTAAAAACTAGTTTGTTAAGCAGCACTCCTGCTATCAGGAAAGGGCCCCGGAGCCAAATCCTGCTATTAACGACGCTGGCTCAGTACAACGGATCAAATGTCTGCCTGAGGCTCCGGGCAGAGCTGGGTCTTTGCGCAGCTCCAGGTTAGGCAGAGACAAAGGAGAAAGTCACATTTGTGCGTAAATCACCATCGTTCTTTTATCACTGGCAGTTTCCGAGTCGGCATCAGCTCCGCTTCTGTCAAACGAACTTTGCACCCAGTCAAAGAAGCATTTGGTGCCCCCCAAATGATGCCCTGCCGGGCACTCCATCAGACAGCAATATTTCAGTCACTTTTTTTTCTTTTTCTTAATAAATGAGTTCATGCCCCTGCCTTCAGCAGCCCTCTTAAAAGGAAGCTGCAGTTCAATYAATGTCACTGTCACGAAAGACGAAAACCATCTGAAACGTCCGCCCATCCCTTTCACCTCACCCAATTCCCAATAAACCGTTTAAAAACAGTGGCAACACTAACACCTGGTTAGATTTTTTTTTAAAGATCAGCCCCCCAGGATCCACAATAGCTTGCCAGCCTGGCAGGAGATGTCGACACGCATTTGGGGGATATTCCTTATCTCAGAAGGCTTGAGATTAGCCAAGCCATTCCTCTGAGCACGAACATTTCCAAGATGTCCTGGGGCTCCAGTCAAAGGGCAAATCAGTGCTTACTCCCTAGACATACCCATCCACCATTAAAACTGTTTTCYTCCCTTTTTCTCCCCGTACTCCTTGAAAACGGATTTCCTTCCACACTGAGCTTAGTAATTTAAAGTCCTTCTTTAAAAACTTCCCAACAAATTCACCCTTTTTTTTTTTTACCCTTAAATGAGGATAGACTAATTTTTAAAAAATCATCACCAAGCTCTCTGAGGAAGGAGAGAAGTTAGTTGCCAGGGGATGAAACTTAGTTGCTTGCAGGGACATGCRGGACCCCCAGCCCTTTCCCAGCCCGAGTGAAAGGCTCGACCAGGGCGAGGAGATGGAGAAGCACCACGAAAGCAAAAAGGATGAAAATTTCCCTCTGACTTCCTCAATTTTGATTTTTTTGATTTTTTTTTTTTTGTTTTTGCCTGCCTTACCCGTGCTGCCGGCCGCGGAGCCGGCTGTGCTGCAGGACCTGCTGGTAGGGAGACTTGGCGGCGGCGGCCAGGCCGAGCGCCAGCGCCAGGAGCAGCGGCAGCGGCGACATGGCCGGGGCGGCGCGAGCGGGGCCGGGACGGGCCGCGGCCGCGCGCGCCCCGTTAAATGCGGCGGCGGCGGCCGGGGGCGGGGAGCGGGGAGGGGAGAGGGGCGGCGAGGGCAGCCCTCCCTCCATCCCCCTCCTTCATCCCCCCTCCGCATCCCTCCGTCCTCCCCCGCGCCCGGGGCCCCGCTGCGGCGGCAGCAAGCTCAGCATCTCCTTCCCGCTCGCATTGCTCTCCTCCTCTGCACGCCTGCTTTTCCCTTTTCCAATTCTTTCTTTTTTTCAGCTTTTCCTCTTTCCTTTTTCCATTTCCACTTCTTTTACTTTTCCTCGTTCCCTTTTTTTCCTTTTCCTTTCTTTCCTCCCTGGGCTTTCCTGGTGTGATGCCATCCCATTACCCTCTCAGCCATCCTTAGTGCCTGCTCCCATCACRTCTCCCTTTCCCCACTGGCTGCCTGTGCTATCAGGGTGCACATTGTGCTTTAAGTTTCTTATCTTTTCTACACCGCAATGTGCCAGCAAGGCYACTGAACCCAGGGTGAACCTGGGTTTTCCTGCACAGTTTTGTCTATGAAGGAGTCCAAGGCGCCTGGCTCCCGTTTTAGGCATCTTGACTAATTGCAGCATCCCAGTCATGTTTCCAGGGAACCCATTCTGCTTTGGGCTGATTCCAATGTTGGAATCAACTCAACTCTCCCTAAAAATTCCCGGGAAGCAGAAGTGGCTCCTTCATGGCCACTTCCCTTAGGAACGGGTCCTTCGAAATGTCCCCRCACATTTGCAGCCTGGGTGGTGGCCAACAAGGGCAGCTGCTCTGTACAAGAGAGGAACCAAAATACATCCTGTGAGAAACCACCAAGCCAAACAGAAGAAGTCTTTAGCAATAATAAACCCTTTATATTTACAGTGATATATTTTCCACTGTAAATAAGTCAGATCAGCATAAACAGCATTAATACTTCTTGGACAGAAGACATCAAATCCTTCCTCAGTGGAAGATGAATCCTTCCTCGGGGAAGACTCGCCGCTCCCTCCATCTAGGTAAGTGGGTCACAACATTTGACTCATGCAAGGGCTAGTGATCCAGCCTGAAAGGCAAGAATTGGAAGTGTCACAGAATCGTAGAAGGTGTCCTGCATCCCTGAGCAGAAGCTGAAGTTTGGACATGGGTGAGGCGGGTGTTCAGCGAGATGCAGGAAGGTGTAGGCACCTTCCTAATGGAAGATACATCTTTCCAAAGAGGTTCTCCTTGTCCTGGCAGCACAGAGCCCCAGGACAAGCTGCCTGCAGCCTTTGCCCCAGACTGGGCTCGCAGGGTCCTTCAGTCCCCATTGCAATGGTCCAAAATTCAGATCAAGCCTTCAATTCATTTCTATGAAACTCGAGTGTGGCTCAGCTCTAGCCAGGAAATGCCCAAATGTTCAAACCCCTGGCRTTCTGGTAAACTTATCTGCCGCTCGTCACCCTTTCCTCTTGCACTTGTTTTAACCTCCGCTCGCGGGCGGATGTTTGGTTTGAAGTRCAGTCCGTGTCCAGTGCACTCTGGGTGCACTCGGACAAATACTCTAAAATCAATCATGTAGAAAACAGCCCTTGCACAAATCGAYGCTCCTGTCCACATTTCAGACTAAGCAAGAAGCAGAAATAGCAGCTGCTCCAGCCACAGAGAGGGATCGCAGGACTCAGCCCTGAGCCAAACAGAAGAAGCCTTCAGCAATAATAAACATTTATTATTGGAAAAGATTTTGCTATATAAACAGATCTGAAGACTGGAATTACTGAATCATGTAAGGCCTTAAATAATTTTTTCATTTTGTTCAGTGAGATGCATAGAAAAAACAGAGAGAGCGCTCCCAAAACCAACCATCTTTCCATCTYCCTATGAATGGTTGAAAGAGAAATGTAGACATGTCTCTTACATGAATTAAAAGCATAAAATTAAAAGCTCTTTTGTATATGTTGCCACACTGTATTTCTATTGCYCTCATAATAGTGTAATCCTCATAAAAAGTTTTAGTTACATCTGATAAAACCACATGCCCGGAACAGATTTATGCTCTCCATTTAATCCCAAATTCCAGGTAATGCTCATTTCAGACTCACTTTTTTTTTCCAGGGCTGGCCTCAACTCCCATTTTTACAAGCCCTCCGAGGACAAGCCCTGGAAAACTGTACATGATTTGCCCTGCTCATGTCCTCGGATGTCACCGGTGGGAGGACGAAGGAGCCACCAGCCCGTGCTCAACTCCCCAAGAGCATCTGCAAAGACCTGGCTGGGCTCCTCTTGTGCTGGATGAGAAATCGGCCCAGAAAAAAGGGAATATTTGCAAGAAACACTGCCCTAGGGCCCAAATTGCATCAGGGAACCCACACGATTCAGGTCCCAGCTCTTTTCYAAGCTCTGGTCATAGGGCATCCTGCACATACACCCAGCCCAGCATCACGAGCAGCAACAAGCCTGGGGAAGCCCATACACCACGGGGCTGAAATGAATAAATGAATAAAGCATAAAAAAGGGGTCGTGCCCACAGAAGGAGCACGAGCAGAAGAGATTGCAAGCATGAAGCTCACTTGGCCTATCTGGCTCGTCCAGGGAGGCTGCAGCGTTTGGACCGGCGTCCCGCTGCCAGATCAGCAATTACAGGCCCTTTTCAGCTTCCTTTTAATAGATCCTTCTGAGGGAAGAAATATGTGTTTTATCTGCTCTGGCATAAACAAAACAAATCCCTGACCTCATCGCATAGCCTCGCGATTAGCTCCCCACTTGAGATATGGCAGATAAACTTTTCTACACCCGTCATCCCTGCGCTCGCCRCTTCCCTGCCCTTCTCCCACCAAACAAACCCGCTGGGTTGCGGGGTCAAGCCGAGACCTGCGTCTGGTTCCTCCTTCCCTGCTCCCTGTAGATCCCTGATCCATGCGACTGCAGCCCTGGGAGTCCCAAGAGGCAGCACAGCAACCATGGGGGGAATAATTCAATGCCACTTGGTTCTATCAGCCATACATGGGGAAAAAAAGGGGAAGGAGATGACAAGCAGCTCCYCCCAGGCATTTCTAGCTCTCACAAGTTCTTATTTTGCTCCTTATCCTGCAATTTTTTTTTCTTGCTTTCTGCACACCAGCAAAGAAATAGAAAACCCCCCATAAATCTGAGGCCGACTCGTCTTTCTGGGGAATTTTGTTTCCCCACGGCGCCGCACAAGCCAGGGAAAGCACCGTGCCCCCACTGCCAGCAAAGCGATGCCAAGCGGAGTCTTCAGGCTCCTCGGAGGGATAAAAGGGAGTTTTTCCTGGCCTGCTCCAGCTGATGGAGAGGCCTGATAGGCGCCCGGTGCGGGAATCTGCTGGCGTTGGCTGCGGGCCACCCTGTAATGCAGGGAGGGAGCGAAGGCTGGAGCCTCCGGAGCCAAATTGCAACAGGCTGTTATTTGGGGGATGCTAAGCTTTGAAATCTGAATTCACTTAGTTTGTTATTATACATTGGAACTTGCTAAAAAATAAAATATATAAAAAAAGGCACTCCCTAGATCGGTTAAATACAAGGCAGACGAAAGTGTTCCCTGCCAAAAAGATACATGAGCTACGTTATGTCAATAGAAGAACTGGCAATGGGAGATGGAGCAGCCCGAAGGCTGCTCCTGCTTCCCCATRAGCTTTGGCTGGAGTTCAGGCTCCCTGAAACCCACGATCAAATCTGGACTCTGTGTCCGCTTCCCTGCGGATCACCACAGGGATCTCTTTGGTAGAGCCAAGGGAGGCCTCTTCTCCTACATGTCTCCAGCAGAAGGAGATGCTCCAAGACCATAGCGAGGTGCTTGGCATGACCTAGTGCCTCCTTGCAAATCATCTCTCCAAAGGTTTCACCCATTGCCACGGGCATGGAGAAAAGGGTGAGTTGGAGCCACCAACTCCTTCTACCAATGCAAGAGCAGTCCCTGACATCTGTAACATTATCCAAATCCTGGGCCATTTCTCTGGTTGTTCCTCTCTTCACACTGCAGTCTCCTCTTGCCAAGTGGGTAGGTAAGAAAGGACAAGGCAAAAGACAAAGCAAGAARTAACACAAGGAAAATGAGGTCGCTAAGCCTGGTATTGTCCAGGAAACAGCRTTCCTGCACTTTTGGCAACGTCTCAGACGGATAGGGAGCCCCATGACGGGAGATGGGCTAGATGACCTGAGCTATCAGTGTGCATGCAATGGACCCACGTGCTGCTGGATCTGCTTCCGCAGGGTCAGACATTACATCTCACTTGATCAAAAACAGATGTTTTCACCAAATRTTCTCCCCCTCACCAGCCTGCCTGCCTTAACACCTCAGAGCTGGTCCCCAGCCAAGCTGCATTAGAGCAGAATAGTCCTTCTAACGGTGCTCTCCTGCCCATCACCACCTCGTGCACGACAAGGGACCTTCCRCAACTCTGCTGAAGATGATTATTGACCTCACCACGGCTTTTACCTTTTCCCTCCCCTTCCCGACTCCCCACAGACACCTGCAGACCTGTTGTGGCATCAGGAGCAGAGAAGCCGGACGGAGACATCCCCTTCTTCTCATCTGCTCTCTGAGGCTGCCCTCCAAGCCAAGCTTCTCTGGAGATACTGCTTCAGGGATACTGCTGTTTGTAGACATGCATACACTAAGAAAAGATACGTACACGTATTTATGAATTAGCTGAGTTGGTCGTTATCACATAGCCCTGGGGGGACATATGGCTTAATTTAATTGTAGTGGTTTTGCAGGTTCCAGCTGAGAAGATAACACGACAAGGAGAATAATCGCCTCTAAGAGGGAGTGATTTAGTAATAGAGTCTGCAGAGCTCGTAAAGCCTCCTTGATGAAGGGCCAGGGAGAGCTGGAACGGTTCGGATCCGTCTCCCCGCTGCTGCCGAGACTGAATGTCGCAATGTGTATTAKGAAGGTTTAATGGAAAATAATTGCCTTCATTATGCGAGCCCGACACGCAGACATATGTTCCCGGGTAAGCCGCTTTTACCGCCAGCCAGGTCCACGGAGCTCGTTCTCTGCAAGCCTAGGGAGCTGCGTTTTGAGCAGGCACAGCGAGGAGGCGAGCAGCAGGACACGGGATTCACTGGGGGCTCGTTTATCGAGAGGAGCATTCGGCATTCCTGTGGCACGTCAGGTATCCAGACACGGCTGGGCAGGGACTCCACGGACCACGTCTGAACATGCAGCGGGACTCTGGGGTAGCCAAAGAGGAGAGAAACCGGAGACGGAGCTTTTTACAGGAGATACGGCACGTTGTAAAACAAGATGTCTGGGGCCAAATCCAGCTCCTTTTATGAGCACTGACCTTCTCATTGCAGCAGTGCTTCTCACTCGGATGAGGTAAACAGCACCCGAGCTCCTGGCATTTACGAGAAGCCACGGAGAAGTCACGGTGTCAGTGCAATACAATAGGACCTTGTGTTAAAATTAATCCAAAGGGCCTGGAAATCTGGAATTCACCTCAAGCAAAACCTCGCTACAGATAAAGAGTTTCCTAAAACCCAAATTGTTTCCACTACTGCTTTTAAAAGCAGACTGGCCAGCTGCWAAGTAAGTGATGCTCTAATCCCGCCAGATTCCTGGCGGATTAGCCCATCATTCGCAGCGCGATTGAGACAGGCTAATTTCTCTGCTATTAGTTTTTAATTCTTCTCGGTCTACTTTTCACAATGGCTTGGCACCTTCCACGCTCGCCACTCACTGACGTGAATGCTGGCGAGCGGCAGCATCTGCCTCCATCATTTATCACACCGGCGGGACRGGATAATTTCCAGGCAGAGCCCGGTGCGTCTGGGAAAGTGCCCCCGATCCCCGGGAAAGACGGTGCCTCCGTGAGCGGGAGCAAATATTTATCCGGCATCATCTGGTCCTAATCCCCGCAGCCAGGCGAAACTCCCAGGATGAGGTAATGGTTGGTGCTTAATGCTAAAAAATAGAGGTTTTTCGAGAGCGGGTAGGTGTGAGGAGGCAGTGGGCTGCAGGRCTTCTAACCAAAAGTTAGAAATCTGAGGAAAAATTATTTGCTGCTTTAAATTTTCAGGAGCTGGCAAACAATTATCCTAAAACACACCGAGGCCCGTAACACTAGGAAGCTAAGCTAGAATAAAGCACGTTTTTTTTTGCTTGTTTGTTTGCTTTTTAAAAGGAATGTTATCAAAATATCTTCCCACCAGATTAGAACGTCTGGGAATACTTTCGTAGGTGGCTGAGGTATCTTTGCTTTGCTTATTAGTCTCCAAGTAACTTGGGTGATTTACGCTGTCCACATAAGCACCAGGCAATTCCTCAGCCATTTTCTGCCAGTGACTGCTCAAATCTGGAATTGTCCAAATTAGGAATTGTATCCAAAGCATCCTGAAGATTGAGCTAACCSACTGGCTTCTGCCGGATCCATATTATTTTAGCCCGGAGGGTGCTAAAAAAAGATCCATCTCCAAAACATGAGATGTCTGATATCATATTTTAGGATTGCAAATTAAACACACAAAACAACTATATTCCTTCAGGTTCGCTCTTACGTGAAGGGTGGCATGTATATGATAATATTTCACATSTTTTATGATATTTGGTAAAAAACAATGCGTTCCTCATCGATATACAAGGTGCAGCGCCACTCCATCGAGGACCAGGAATATCTTCTGGCAGAGCAGACACATCTGCACCAGTGAAATGGGGCCCAGCAGAGCACATCAGGTTTTCAGCTGGAGTTTCCTCAAATCTTGGACGAGATGAAGTCTTGGTTGCTCCCAGAATAACTCAATAGCCAAGTAATGAGGGAGGTTGGAAAGTCAGGTTACATCTCCCCTTTTGAACAAATTTTTGGCATGGTTATTTATATAAGATGGAAGGATTCCTGTAAATGAGGTTGTGAGTAACTAAGCCAGAAGAGTCCATCGTCCTGTGGCCAAGTTCATCCCAAGACACAAACTCAGGTTTCCCACAACCCAGGTGAGCCCAAACCACCAAGCACTGAGTTTGACTTGAGGAAATCTCTCTCTCTGCACATTATTTTTCYAGAAATCTTGGTTTTATGTCAAAACAAATGAAAGCGTCAATTAAAAGCTCCGTGTTTGCTTGTGAAGACGTGCTGTCTCCTGGGAATCTCATGCTCCACCGTCATACAGATGTTCCGATGGAGTCCTCCCGTCTGGGCCATACTATTGAATGAGCACACGAAGCCACCAAATTCACTGTCACCAGCTGAATCCCAAGCACACACACAAAATCTGGGTGAAAGACAAAGGTGAACACATTTTGCACCATAGTCTCCATCAACATATAACAGAGAAGGAACAGCAAAAAAAAAAAGTAGCTCACACATCAGAGCAGGGACGTTTACTGTGTATCTCAAGCAAATCCTTTCTTTATGCCACACATGACAAGAACCAGCCCTAGGATCCTCAGTTTTCTCCTCCTACATCTCTCCCATCAGCCAGAGATCGGTGGTGTGGCAAGAGCCAGAGCCTCCTGCAAAACCCCTTCCAGATGTCTCGYGCCACAGACACATCCGTCACTGTCGAGAGCTCAGCGATGAGCTGCTCCCTGTTCATTATCAATGGCTACTGTTCTCTGGCAGAAATATATTTTCCTCCCCCAAGAAAGCTTGACGGCAGCTTTGTAGGAAGCGTTTCTCCTTCCTTCACCCTTGAACAGACTCCCAWGAAGTTCCACCGTAGTCTGAAACAAGCAAGTGGCTCCCTGGTCACCAGCGGCTACAAGGAACAGGCACAACTCATTGCACCATGGAGGCATTTGAAGGGGTTAAAGAGAGGAAATCAGCCCTGGATGTGGTCATGGCTCTCAGGATCAAACAGCCCCATCTCCATGGCTTCCCAGGAGCTTGGTGGCTTTAGATGATCCTTTTTTTTTTGTAAGAAACCAAGCATGGCCTAGAGCATAGACCTCACAACAGAACAAGCCTAGAAAATGCAGGTAAATAGTGTMCTGGAGCAGTTTCTCAAGTCAAGGATTCGTTGGGACTTCAACTCCAAGCCTAGAAGCAAATTCTCTTCCATTCTGTTTGCCTGCAGCATGTTGTGATTTCCTTGACCATTTTCAGGTAAATTCTGCACAATTCTCTGAATGAATTTTAATCAGTCTTTGATTGCTGCATAGGATGTATCTTACCCCAGCAGCTCTGTACAAGCTCATGAGGAATTTTTCTAAGCTAAAAATAACCGCTGAAAAACCCAATACTGTCCATTATGAAGATTCCCGACATCTGCATTTCCTCCSTCCTTTCATCTTAGTTAACGGACAGGATTTAAGAAGTGCAAGTGGCCAGGAAAGGCTGTTTCTTCCAYGGAAAGTGCCAGCCTTGCTCCTGGGATGGGCCAGCAGGCTGGACTGATGCAACATCCTCTGCCTTGCTCCCAACCGCACCACCGCAAGGAATCGTTATTCCACAGCTCGTCCCGCCTTGGCACAGATGCCCCAGGGAAACGCCAAGCCAAAGCCTGGGCTTAAGTCTTCCAAAACCTGCTCTTTTAATGTAGCTGCTTATTAACACGGCCTTCTTCTGGGAGGTTTCTTCCCTTATCCTTTGAATTAGGAAAACCATTTCAAAATCTTGGGAAGCAAAATCTTGGGTTGAAGAAGCTGAAAATAGTGGTGGGTCCTTTGCAGAAAGACGGAGAAGAGAAGGGGAAGAAAAAAAAAATAAAAATAAAAAATAAAAAACCCAGTCTCTCATTTGGATTTATGAATGTAAAGTCTGCTCTTCTGACATAATCTCCCTGATTTAAGCTTGCGGTTTCTACACASAATTTCCATGAACATTAATGCAAGTCATCTGTGCAAATCTCCCCCAGGTTGACAGGATGAAAGCTTTAAATTTTAGGTTCAATTCCTAGAGCCATAATACTGGTTTCTGGATTTATCATTCACCTGCCTAGGACCCGGGCTAGAGTCTGAGCTAGACCCATTGGTCTCACTCAGGTTCTCAGTGCTGGACACCAGATGCCTGAACTGGGTACCCCAAAGATGGAGGAAAAGTGAGCAAATGCTCTAGAAATCACATTTTTGTCTCAGAACAAGCACCAGATGGTTTTTCATTRGACAGGGATATTTGATCATCTTTTTATGCTGCAGAATGGAGCTCATGAACATTGTAACGYGATATGTGTCATGCCAAAACTGTCAGGGAGCATTGCCTTTGAGCAGGATCTGAGCAAGGGAAGGGTACATCTATGAGGACTTTAGCCAGGGCCACACAAATGCCCAGGCTTGCTTTTGCTCAAGAGCCCTCCATTGAGGTGGATATTAAAGGGAAAAAACTCGGGATTGAGAGAGCTAGCTCCTTCCAAACCCCACGGGCTCAACCTCCCAGCACAGGCAGCGCTTGCTGAGCATGCACTTCCCCTCTCCCCCAACATGGGCAAAAAAACAAGCATCCCRAAGCCTGTAAACTAATATAAATTGCATTTCTTCACCTTTGCGTTACCCAGGCCCTGCTCTGCTGAATCTGCATCTGCAGAGACCCGCTGCCAGCCCTCTCCTTCCTCCTCTTCTTCCTCCTGCAGCTCTTCCTGCATGCAAACAGGGGTGTTTTAGGCAATGAGGTCATGATGAGCTCAKCAATGAATTCAGCTCCGTTCTCCAGAGCCTGTCAGCTCCCTGCCAGGGCCTGTGATTAATGCAGCTCAGCTGGGCCAGGTAAGGCAGACCAGGGCCCGCATTTTAAGGGGATTTAAGCCACGATTGAGAGCAAAAATCTTACAGCTGGACCCTGACTCAGTTCTCCACCAAGGCTCAGTCAAGAATGGCAAAACTCACTATTTCAAGGTCAAAATCCTTATTCCTTCCCCCCAAAAAGACAAAATCATGCAAATCTTCTCAAGCAACTGATATATCTGGTCTAGACAACCCAAMATCCCCCAGAATAAGCTCCAGTTTGAGGGGCAGGGTTGGACAGAAGGACAGAAAACCTCAATGCAAAACCATGAGAGATGAAGCCCGAGAGCAGAACAGAGCTCTCCACAAATGTTTTGCTTTGACACTTATAACAGGGATTACTCATTTCCTGGTATCCTTATCCTACTGTTGACTGGAATGGTCAATGCAACATGTAATATTGCAAGGACTCGAGGATTTGCATGAAGTGTTTACATGTGAGTGCTGCTGTGTCCCTAAAACCCTGCAGTGCCTGGGATGTCTCCAGCGCAGGAGCCCAACCCGGGCAGCTCTTTGTGATTTTCCTGCAAGATTYTGTGATGATTTTCTGAGAGCTGGGGAAAACAAGCCCACTTGGAGAAGAGCCTGAACAGCTTGGCTGGCTCTCAGAGGGATGCACGGCAGGGTCCAAATCACGGCCGACCTTGGTCCCAAGCCGGAGCACACGCTGGGAAATTAATTCAGGAAAAGGACTAATAACCAATTCTGAGCAAACATTTTGGGTTGCTTGCTCCTAGCCGCGAGGTCCTCATGTGCCCACAGATGCTGATTAGCAGATTACTGAACAACTCCATCATATATTTGCCCATTATTCCTTTTTATGAATAGCTAATTAAATAACAAGGAGGCTCTTCGCCCTCATGGAGAGGGGAGCTTACCAGRAGCTACCATAATGGTGCAGGAGGATATGTTTTGCTGGCACCTGGGGAAAAAATCCGTCTTACAAACCTTGGTCCCTGATGCTGTTGCCTCGCATTCTGCTTAGCCTGTAAAAAGCAGCAAAGAAGGAAAAAAAATAGGCACTTTTAAAGGAAAAAGAAAAACAGAAGGTGAAGTGGAGGGGGAAAGTGCGTGAGCGTGGAGGGACAGAGCCAAAAACGGAGCATGGGGTGGGTGGAACCACCTCAAGTAGATGAAACCTCATCCTTAGGGCACTCGTCAGGAAAACTCCCTGCTAAGTCAGGGAAAAGCTCAGGCTTTTCTTTATCCAGCAAAACATTTTCCTTTCTGTCAAGCGCAATCACCTTTTTTAGGAAAAAGAATAAAATGGAGAGACTTGTGCAAGGAATTTGAGTGAGTGCTGTGAACCCTCTAAGCTCTTAAATAATTAGCAGACTTCTTGGGTATTATGTTAAGAGACGTCATCCCAAAGCTAACGCTACTCCTGCTAAGGAGCTCAGGACTGCAGAAACTGTAGGAGTGAAGGAGGATTGCACATAAATCTGCCCACAATCTTTTTAAACTAGAAAAACAGCGAGGAGCTGCTCTTGAAAAGGTTCAGTGAAAATTATCATTGTTTTCTTATTTCTTACATAGGCATACCGGGGAGGAATTTGGACAATAAATGGCTTGTTAAACATAGGGACTAAATTTATTGGCCTTATAGACAGGATTTCTTTTCCGATTTGATCCCTGTTAACGTATTATTCAAATACATACGAGTCCACACGCATGCATTATATATAGCTTGCAACACGCTACCATAAATCAAGTGCAAATACGGAGCAGATGTGATATAGTAGCCGGGATTAACGTGCCTCGGTGGTGCTTTCATGGAAAAGGAGCCGGCGTGGGCTCAGCAGAGCATGCCTCACGGATACGGTCATGGGGCTGCTTGAAAAGGGCTTTTACACACGGCGCTGGCCGCGCGCTTTCGCATGAGAGGTGACTCGTCCCCCTCGCCTGCTTTTAGATGACTCAGACTGTACACAGAGAGCTTCATTAGGAAAATATGTTGCAGTAATTGGTCGTTTGTAATTGTCTGCGCATCCCGGGCAGGAGGTTTCGCGGCCCTTTGGCTGCTTCCAATGGGGGATGCGGCCGATCCCGGCTCCGCATGGAAACGTGTTGGCAGCCCTGGAGCTTCGCCCGCCGCTTGGGAACCCACCTTGCTCCTCTTCAGAAATGATAAGAAGTTGTCTTAATAAATATACACAAATGCACAGGCTTTCATAAAAGAAGACTTCAGCCCATCCGTACCATTACATAAGATATGGAAGCAGATATGCCTTGGCACAAAAGAGTTTTGGATATTGGTTAACCCATGGGTTCCTTAGATTCTTGGCCTGTGCATTTGGAAGAATGACCCAAGCAACGTAATGGGCACTGAGAGGTTCGGGCACAGAGGTGGGAGGCAGAGGTTGCCATGAGGAAGACGAGCTACAACCCAGTGCAGCTGCTAAATCCTTGGGAAGACAGGGATGGAGCAGCAGAGAAAGGCAGCGGGGATGGGGAATGYAGAGGAACCCGGGTTCCCCTCCACCAGCTTCAGCCCCAGACGTCAGCACGTTGGGAACAAGCAGGGAACGGAGCTGTCTCTGCAGGACATTAGCTGGGCAAAACAGTCGCTTCCTCTGGAACAGGAGTGTCTAGGAAAGATTTGCTCTAAATAAATATATGAGAAAGCAGCAGACTCAGGGTCTGTGCTCTCCTTCCCGACATGCTGGTGATCCAGGGGGATCCAGGCTCGGCAGAGATCTGCAGGTCCCACCAGAGGAGAAAACCTGCCAGATGCTCTGATGATTTCAGACAATCCCAAGTAGACTATTATGGGTCTTGGGACCATTACGARGGTTCTCCTGGCTTCTCTTGCTCTGGAGAAGAGACATCAGGTACTCTACAGATTTTTGAACATTTGTACATGTACCAGGGCTTCTGTGCAGGAAAACAGCATTCACTTCTGTGGCCAACTCCCAAGATCCACATCCSTCTGGACTCACTCTTGGCACACGCAC